TCCACCAGTTGTGGTTGTGGCGGCAAACGTGGCAGAACCATTTGTACCAGAACTTAGTGACAGAAACAGTGCAGAGTTTAAAGTTCTTGAAATCAGAGTTGTAACAGTGGTTAGTTCTCATTCTTATTATTTTTCTGAGTATTGAGTTTGCTGTTTTTATTTCATTTGGAAACTTTTCTTATTTTAACTGCTTTATTTTGTTGCTTTCGTTCCCACAGTATGATATCATCTACAAGACAAAATATGGATTTCTTTTCATACGCTCGTTTGTCATTTCATTTAGGTAACGTTTCACATTTGAGAGACCAACTCACCTTATACTTTCTGGGTTTTTATATTCAAACTTTCAAACATAAGAATGACAAAAGCACTCATTACAGATATGTAAAAGTTATCAATGTTGAAATAATTAGGTTTAAAATATGTTATTTTTTGATGCAGTCAAGCTGTGGTGATAACTCGAGCTGATAGTACTGAAGTCGAGATGGGGCTTGAGTTCAATCAAACTGCTTCACCTGCAGCAATCCCAAAGGATGATGATGTTGCAAACACCTTAGAAGAGGCTATATCCAACCCAAACAATACCTTCAACATCACTGTTGATGTGACCTCCATCCGAGTAATTCGTAAGTAATCAATATCCTTCATTTAGCAAGGACATTTTTTTATCTAAGATGTGTCTAACATTGTCTGTTCAATACTTAGTATCAATATATCTAACAGCAAATAACAATAGCCAAGTTTCATTTTTGTGCTATGGAATTATTTCAAAAATTCTTATTTGACAAATGTGTTGGTCGAAATGGAGCATACACAATCATCTACCATCGACTGTTTCAAACATAAGAAACACAATTTAAAGTTATTTTTCTTTCTTGTCTGAAAATGCAGTTATCACCGTTGGCACGGTCAGCAATGTTTCTGCTGTTAGCACCTATAGTTACTAGCTGCTGGCCCAGCCATCGCAAAAGTGACAATAGTTTGAAGGCAATCCATCAGTCAGACATAAGCTTTGAATTTTGTGTTGAGAACCTTCACACTGTGGATTGACTTTGTTTAGAAGAAAGCAATTTGAATAATACCATCTTTTATTTTACCATATTTCTTCACATTGATCCATATTTGTTTGGACTATAGCCCCGACAGCTATCCCAACTACCAGTGGCTGCAACTACAACTACAAGGGCTGCTACAACTAAAATCACAACGAACTCCTACAACCACCATAACGAAAGCTACTACAATTTGCTGAAGCAGTCATCAATAAGGCAGTTGACTTTCAGATCTGCTGGAGAGACATTTACAACCGATTTGCAGAATAGATTATCTGCAGCCGTTTAAAGCACGAGCCTCACTAATAGAGACAACAGTAAGTCCATAGGGTGAAGCCGAGCGAAATCTAGCATCCTAATTAACTGGATATGTTTTACTAAACGTATTAGTATTTCCTGCAATAAGCCATCTTTTCTTTTAATTTGTAGATTAAATCTCCTTTAACAAACACATTTGGTGACAGTCAAATTACTATATCCTGTGTTATGAGATCAAATGTATCTTCAAACTTAAATAAAATGATAAGTTTCAGATATATTTAACATTTAAGTGTTGGTGCTTCTTATACTGAATAGAAGATGCTGGATTGTTCATTGTTGTATGATTGGATGGTGTTTGTTGGTGCAAATTAAAAACCACAATTACAAAAAGTCAATGGCAAATAAATATATGTACATCATTTATTTGCTTGTTTTTTGCAGCTTAACCCTATTTACCAACAACAATTTTCTTCGTTCCGCTCCTTGACGGTGATTTTGTTCAGGTAATTTATTAATGTTATTCAAATGTACTGCAATCTGTGAATTCATGAAAATAATATTTTTAACACAATTGTAATAATTACAATTCATTTATAATGATTACGAATATATATTTCTCTTCAATTTTATTTGCAGTAATGGATCAATCTTCAACACCATGAATATTAAATTTGCATCCACATCAGTTCCTAGTGGCACTCAGATTGGAAACATTTTGGCTGGTGTAGCTTCAAGCATCACAGCCTTCAACATTGAAACTGCCTCAATTTTTTTGGATGGTGCACGTAAGTTATTTGAAACACTACCTTACCAAAAAAACACAACCTAAAAGAGATACTTCAAGCAATATATTTTGTTTTTCTTTTGTCATCATTTACAGAAGTTTCAAATGGAGTATGCCACAAGATGAGTCTCATCACTGCATCCTTCCTTGTGCTGCTGTCATGGCTACTGTCAAGCTTTCAATAGTGCAGGCTCATGTCTGTTAAGTGAAATACAATTACAGAAAGCCTTACATACTGTAACTGTATTGCATATCAGACGCATCACATATAACAACATTTTAACTTATTGTGCAGATATAATTTACAATAACATTTAAATTGAACACAGTGCCTTCCTTGTATTATTATCCAGTAACTTTTCTTATTTCTATCTTTTTATATTATCATACATAACTTATGTGTATTCTGTGAGCTTACCTTTATTTTGGAAAAAAACAAGGTCTTCTTGATGATCGGAACACAAAATATATTGTATGTTATTTTACGTTTTTAGCATCCGAAAATAAAAACAAGGTGTATCTCAATAAGTTGAAAATGCTTCCATTAAAAGGCACTGAAGATAAGTACAAACAATCAAACACTGTCTTATTCTTTCTAAAAACCTTTTTTTCCAATCTGTTATTCTCAATATGGTTATATATAAGTTATTCAGCATTTTCCAGAAATATTATGGCTGCATGTTGATTCACAATGGCCCTGGTTTAAATTAATAAAGAAAGGACAGCAAAAATAATCACAGGAGGATTGTGACCAAACACACTCAAATGTAATCATTGCTGGTTTTGTTCTTTTATAAAGTTGGACTGTAAAGTATTTTCCAAATATAGGACTATATTCAACTATTCCTTTGTCAAATTACATTTATTGGGCTACATTTACATATATTTTGATATGATTTATCAATTTGACTTAACCAACTGGCACACTTAAACTATCTATAATCTGCAGTAGTGGATTGTGAAAGCGTCATGCAGCAGCAGACCAAAAAAGGGAGTATACAATGACAGTGTTAAGAGATGATTAATAGATATCTTTCTGACTTGTCATTGTAGTTGGGCCATATAGATGCAGAAATATCTCAATAAGATGTTGTGAAGCTGACCGTTGAGCAGCCCGACCAAGCAAGGAGGCAGACGCAGAGAGTTCAAATATATCCCGGTGTGAGCATTTATTCATCAGGATACACAGCCTCAATATGACTGTCTCCAGTGAACACAGTCACCAGCAACAAGGATCTCACACACACAGACTAACAGGAAAACAGAACCTAAATACACACAGACTAATCAAACCAACAAGACACAGGTGAGGGGGGAGGAGACAACACAGGGCACCAGGTGAACACAATCACCAGCAACAGACAAGACGGGAGGGGGAACACTTTCAAACTAAAACAGAAAACAGAGACGGATAAACTAAAACACAGACAGATCGCGACACTTTCCAGGGCACGGAACAAATCAATACACTTCACCACCAACGAAGCTATACAATCCGTAACGGAGGCCGAGATCTATGGCCCCAGAGATCACCTCCGTTACAGGTGTCATATCTGATTCATGTCATTACTCACAAAGCCCTACATTAAGGTGATAATAGACAAGGAGTGCAACATAAAGTTAAGTGTAAATACTTAACTTAATTAAGTAAATACTCCTCTGTGCAAAATGCCTGCAAATCCAATAAAGTTATTGGGAACTGTAGTTCAGTAAAGTTGTCTAACTTAAGGCGATGCTACAGTAAGAGTCAGAGGATCATCAGCATGTCAGCAGGCTTCCAAATGTCATTGTTACCAAAATAGTTGTTTGGTTATTTCAGTTTGGATCAAAAGGATTGGACCGACTGACAGTACAATATTGACATCCTTATAAGATTGTGACTTAAAACAATACTTATATTCCTTTATTCATTTACTGTAACTTTTTTCTTATGTATGATATTGGAAGGCTAAAAGCTTACCTCAGTATTTTAATACATTCAAGCTTTTAGAAGTGAATTCCTAAGTTTATACAGGTTTTTGTTTATTTTATCTTTATCCTGTATAGCTCCAAGTGGTCTGGTGTAAACCAATGATGCTGTAATCATCCTAATAATTCCCATGGTGCATTTAAGCTTTATTTCACGTGAACCATACCTTTTTTCTTGATGTATGTATTTAGCATATTGTAATGTCTGTATGCCTTCACAAATGGAAGCAGAAGCCATGTTAATACATTGAGTCACAAGTGAAATTTTTGTATATTAAAACTTGATGTTGATATAGCCTGTATGTATGGAAGCCTGTTTGCGCCACAGGAAAAAAAAAAAATCCTGTAAGTCATTATAATGACTTAGCTATCTCATTATAATGACTTACTATCTCATTATAATGACTTACTATCTCATTATATTGACTTAGCTATCTCATTATATTGACTTAGTTATCTCATTATATTGACTTAGTTATCTCATTATATTGACTTACTATCTCATTATATTGACTTAGCTATCTCATTATATTGACTTAGCTATCGCATTATATTGACTTAGTTATCTCATTATATTGACTTAGCTATCTCATTATAATGACTTACTATCATATAAGAGCAATTTTAAAATTAGCTTTCATTCCTTTACACCAAAGCAACAATAGCAAGTGTGTGGGACACACTTAGCTGAACTAATGGATACTATAATTGAAGACTACTTTAGACGCGGATTCACAAATAAGGACATTTTAGTGGTTTTGGAGGAATCACACAATATTAAACTAAGCCTACGGACACTACAGAGGAAGATACAAAAGAACAAGCTTTGGCGGAGAAAAAATAAGACAGATGCAGCTGAAGTGGCATCGTTCATCGAACAACAGCTACAAACATCTGGCAAACAGCATGGCTACAGATGGATGCACCAGAAATGTTGGATGTCCGGTATAATTACCGACAGAGAAACGGTACGTCAACTGTTGCGACTGATGGACGGAAATGGGGTTGACCTACGTGCACATAACCGTTTGAGACGACGTATGTTAGTCGAGGGCCAAATTACGTGTGGCACATTGATGGATACGAAAAATTAAAGCCTTATGGCATATGCATAAGTGGCTGCATAGATGGCTTCTCAAGGAAAATGATCTGGCTGGAAGCATATAAAACCAATAATGATCCTCGTATTATTGCAGGTTATTTTATAGATTCTGTGACTGAAAACAATGGCTGTCCACAAAGAGTAAGGTTAGATCACGGTACGGAGAATACCCATGTTGCACAGATGCAAAAGTTTTTGCACAACATTGAGGATGAGAATGGCATGGAGTGTGTCACTTTAGGTCCAAGTACTGGGAATCAGCGGATTGAATGCTGGTGAGGCACCTTGAGAAATGAATGCGCCCAATTTTGGATGGACCATTTTGACCAGATGAAGGCTGATGGCTATTTTGTTGGCAGCTTCCTTTTTGCTTTCAAAAATACCATACAGGTACAGTAGCCTAAATAACTATTTATTATCAGCAAAGACAGAAAAAGTGTTATACGTATAACGTTTTTAATCTTTTTCTATCCAATATATAGGAGGAGCTTGATCACATTGTTGCTGTCTGGAATGACCATCGCATAAGAACAAGCAACAACCCTCGGGCTCCCAATGGTTGTCCCTCCATAATGTATGCGGTTCCCGACCTATATGGGGCTCAGAGTTTCTTGCAGCCAGCTGATCAAATGAAGGTTGAAACATGTCGAGAACACTGTTGTTTTAAGGACTATCCTTGTGACGAGGATGTGTTTCACCTATGTATTGAACTAATGTCTGAGCACAGCCTGGCAATGTCAGAGGATGTTTATGAAATTACGGACCTCTATGTAAAACTTCGACAAATGATTATTGATGAGCTGGGGGAATAGAGTATGGTTTTGTTCTTTCAAATTCAAATTCAAAACCTTTATTTATCCAGGTAAAATCCCATTGAGATCAATGGTCTCTTTTTCAAGGGAGACCTGCAGCAGTAGGTTCCACAAGAAGACATAAAAACATAAACAACAGAACAACAAAAGGACATCATACAGCAAAATGTACAGGGATTACAATTTACATATTTAACCACATGTACAGGTACCAACAGCATCTGATTTTGTAGCATCCAACCGAGCTTTAAAAACATGTAGTGGTACTAGCTTGGTAATTTTCCATTCTTTTTGCAGACTGTTCCATGTTAGTGGAGCTGCACATCTAAAAGCTTTCTTCCCTAAGACAGTCCTAGCACTTGGCACATTTAATAAAACCACAGCATGCGATCTCAGGCAATAAGTACTTTCAATTCGCAGAGAGATCAGGGAGCAGATATAAGATGGTAGTTTATCCAACATGGCTTTGTAAATGAAAAAGTACCAGTGACTGAGCCTCCGTACAGTAAGTGATGGCAAAACCGCCTTGGTATACAGGGTACAGTGATGCGTAAGTGCTTTACAATTTGTAAAAAATCTCAGTGCACTGTGATACGCAGCATCTAACTTGCTCAGGTAATTGGCAGGTGCATTCATTTATAACAAATCACCATAATCCAGCACAGGTAAAAAGGTCACAGTGACTAGCCTTTTCCTGGCCTCAAGCGAGAAACAGGACTTATTTCTGTAAAAGAAACCTAGCCTAACCCTCAGCTTTTTAAGCAGGTTATTGACATGAAGTTTAAAAGTGAGACAGTCATCAAGCCAGATACCCAAGTATTTGTAACAGGTACCCACTTCAAGTTGTATTCCTTGCGTAGTTACAATATCTAAAGCAGTCTCTGGTGTATTTTTAGCTTTAGCTTTCGAAAAGTGCATTACCTTGGTTTTATCCACATTTAAAAGAAGCTTAAGCTCAGAGAGCTGAGCCTGAATAATGTTAAAAACAGCTTGTAATTTAACAACAGCCTCGTTAATCGAGGGACCTGCACAGTACATAACGGTATCGTCCACATAAAAATGTAAGGTTGCTCCTTCGACATTTTTACCTAAACTATTAATATAGATAAAGAATAATAACGGACCTAAAACTGAACCTTGTGGTACACCATTAGTGATGTTTAACCACTCAGAAGACAGCCCATCAAACTGAACACATTGGGAACTTTCAGAGAGGTAGTTTACAAACCACCCTACTGCATGGCTGGACATGCCTATACTGACCAGCCTTTGCTTCAAAATGCGATGATCGACAGTATCAAAAGCTTTGGATAGGTCAACAAATAGAGCTGCACAACTCTGCTTATTATCTAAAATACTCGTAATATCATTTACCACTTTCATTGTGGCAGTGATGGTGCTATGTTGATTTCTGAAGCCTGACTGATGTTTAGACAGGATGTCATTGTTACATAAAAACACCTTTACCTGTTCACTCACTAGGCGTTCAAGAACCTTGGCCAGAACTGACAATTTAGAGATGGGTCTATAATTGTTTAATAAGGTGGCCTCCCCTCCTTTTAGTAGTGGCAGGACATAAGCTGACTTCCATACTTTTGGGATTTTGTTCGTGCTGAGAGAGAGGTTAAAAAGAGTAGTAAGAGGTGGAGCAATACAATCTGCAGCTATCTTTAAAAAGAAAGGTTCTACGTTGTCCG